ATTTCCAGAATTGATGGACACTGTGTCACATGACTATGATGCCAGAACTGAGGAGGGCTGGAGAGATAACGACTCTGCAGGTAAGAGCACTGGCTACCGTTGCAGAGAATCAGGGTTTGATCCCCAAAACTCACGTGGTCACCCAGGCGGGGGACCCAACAAACTCTTCCGACCTCTAAAGGCACCTCCTCACAGACACGTGACACACAGATGCACATGTATATACATAAATAAAACAAATGTTTATTAAAAATAAACATACAAAAAAAAAAGGCGGGCGGTGGTGGCGCACGCCTTTAATCCCAGCACTTGGGAGGCAGAGGCAGGTGTATCTCTGTGAGTTCGAGACCAGCCTGGTCTACAAGAGCTAGTTCCAGGACAGGCTCCAAAATCACAGAGAAACCCTGTCTCGAAAAACCAANGGGGATATGGGCTGGAAATTGCTCCTGAAAAGGTACAGAAGGAAGAGGTGGGACGATTCCTGGGAGCTATTATAACCCCACAGACTATAAGACCACAAAAAATAAGTCTGAGACTTGACAATCTTAAAACTCTTAATGATTTTCAAAGATTGCTAGGCGATATCAACTGGCTTTGGCCGTACCTTCGGCTTACTACAGCTGAGCTGAGACCCCTATTTAAAATTTTGGAGGGAGACCCAAAAGTGACATCCCCTCGAATGCTGACACAGGATGCACGAGAGACTTTGAAGAGGGTTGAACAGGTCATTCAGAATGCACAGTTAAGACAATATGATGAGAGTAAGCAATTAGTGTTGTGCATTTTGCCTACTAACTCAGCACCCACAGCTGTCCTTTGGCAAGATGGGCCTTTGTTGTGGATACATGCTCATGCCTCCATTCGTAAAACGATTGAGTATTATCCCATGGCTGTGGCATCTATTGCCATGACTGGTATAAAGATGTCTTTAACACATTTTGCTACGCAACCACAGTTGTTGATCCAGCCATACACCCCTAAACAAGTACAAGTCTTAAGTGCGACACTAGATGATTGGGCTATTCTTATCTGTGCATTTTCTGGAAGGTTTGATAATCATTATCCATCCGATAAACTGCTACATTTTGTCATGAATCATCCAGTTATTTTTCCTAAGGTGACCAGGCCTTACCCCTTGGATAATGCAATCACTGTTTATACTGATGGGTCAAGTTCTGGTATGGGAGCCTATATTGTCCAGGGAGGGGAGGCAGTCATTAAACATTTTGAGCCAAATAGGCCACAAATTGTGGAATGTCAAATGGTTCTAGAGGTATTTCTCACCTTTACAGGTCCCCTTAATATTTACTCTGATTCCCATTATGTGGTCAATGCTATAAATCAACTTGAATCTTCTGCAATAATCTCTGACAGGAGCCCGGTGGTCTCCGTTCTGTTGTCCATACGTGATACCATTAGACAGAGGTCACATCCTTTTCACATGGCTCATACACGAGCACACACATTGCTGCCAGGTCCTATGGCAGAAGCCAATGCTTGCGCTGATGAAGCCACCCGAGCTTTTCCAATGATAACATCAGATCCTTTTTCAGCAGCACGCCAATTTCACGAGTTATATCATGTGCCTGCCAAAACACTAACACTTAAATTTAAAATTCCTAGACAAGCAGCTAGGGATATCGATAAGTCTTGCCAGGCCTGTGTCCCTTTTCACCACCCCCCACATGTTGGAGTCAATCCAAAAGGACTGCTACCAGGTGACCTCTGGCAAATGGATGTCACCCATGTGCCTAGTTTTGGCCGTATGCAATACGTGCATGTATCGGTCGATACTTGCACTGGTGTACTCCATGCATCACCCTTTACAGGAGAAAAGGTGGTCAATGTTATAACTCATTGCCTGGAGGCATGGGCCGCTTGGGGCAAACCCAAAAGCTTAAAAACTGATAATGGCCCTGCGTATGCCTCTAAAACCTTTCAACAGTTTTGCTCTCAGATGGGTGTCTGCCATCACACTGGCCTGCCGTACAATCCACAAGGGCAAGGCATTGTGGAAATGTTACAAAAACAAAAAGGGGGAGTAGCCCAGGGCTATTCACCCAAGAATGCCATATCCCTAGCTACTTTTTTAAAAATATTTATTTATTATGTATACAATATTCTGTCTGTGTGTATGTCTGCAGCCCAGAAGAGGGCACCAGACCTCATTACAGATGGTTGTGAGCCACCATGTGGTTGCCGGGAGTTGAACTCAGGACCTTTGGAAGAGCAGGCAATGCTCTTAACCACTAAGCCATCTCTCCAGCCCATCCCTAGCTACTTTCACCTTGAATTTTTTAAACCTTGATGATCAGGGACGATCAGCAGCCAGCAGACATGCTGGGGCTCTACCCACCGAAAACGTTGAAGCAAAATGGAAAGATGTGTTAAATAACACATGGTGTGGACCAGATCCAGTGATTGCTAGATCCAGGGGAGCTGTTTGTATTTTTCCTCAGGGCCAGGAACAACCAGTTTGGGTCCCGGCAAGACTGACGAGAGAGCTGAAACGGATACAGGACAATGAGGACGACCCTCGTGGTGCTGATTCTCCTCCTGTGGATGCCAATGATAAAGATGAAGACGACACAACTGTGGGCGAAATGAATCAAAGATCCTAGGTGAATTCCTTGCTGGCAACTGGTCCAAGGAAGCAGAGAATCTGATCCAGGACCAGCTGTTGCAGATTGCTACCTTGAATGATACTCGTATCATGACCCTTGGACAATTTACTGATTGGCTGCAATCCGCTTTTTCTTTCTTTAAGGAGTGGGTGGGGGTTGGCGTATTCGGTGCCATATGTTGCCTTGGCGTGTTTCTCTGCCTTTGGCTTCTGCGCCGATTTCGTGCACGGCAAGCTCGGGACAAAGCAATTATAGTCCAGGCCCTTGCCGCCCTCGAACATAGCATCTCCCCTCAGGTCTGGCTATCTAGCCTCAAGCATGACCTATAACTGGATGTGGCCTCTGCACCCCAAGTCGTTACAGACATTGCACTGGGACAGGCACATCCTATTCTCTCTATTTTTTAAAACGTGCTGGTAGTCCTTGCACCTCATAGGCCTTGCTGCCATTGCACATGAGAGGATACACAGCATGACGCGCACAGCGCACCCTGACCCTTGATCGTTGGGGACATCATGAGGTCTCGAACTAGATCGGGTTTCTGCTATATATAAAAGGGGGAGATGTAGCGCGCACCATGGCGCTGTCATGTCAGGGGCACGGGGCCTGGGCGCCATTTGCTGTTCCACGTCAAACTTGACAGCTTGTGCGCAACTTGTGCTCATGCGCGCCCGCAGCGCATGCGCGCGCGAGCCCCCCCCCAGGGCGGGGAGTATTTCGATCTGGCCATCTGATCTGGCCAATCATAATTCAGCACGATCACTCATTCTGGCCTGAGCCATTGGGTTGATGACACGTCAGGGCTTTGTCTGGCACCGTATATATTCTTCTGCTTCACGGGGACGGGGTCTTTTGCCTCTCTACAACCTCAAGTGTAAGTGCTCCAATAAAGTGTGTTCTGAGAAGAATCCTGTTGCGGTCGTCTCTTCTGCTGGCGGGAGCGGCGTGCTGCACTACTCCAGTATCCTTGAGAGCTGTGGGAAAGTCCTGAGTAAGCCCATGGGAAAGAACACATCGTCTACTAAGACACAGGCTGCTGAGAGAGGTGGTTAGCGGTACCGCTCCTTCTCTGCCCTCTCTGCTCTTCATCTGTAGAAAAGCAGGTTCTGAAATAAACTCTGGGCTGTTTAGTATTGGCCAACAGACTTCCCGGATCTATCCTGTGTTATGTAATGAGTTTGAGGCTATCATGGTCATGTGACAAACCCTGTCTTAACTCTTCCAGAAGAAAATAATATGAGTAATACACCACCCTCCCCTCTGTGGCAGGAGCAGAACTGCAGCCAGGACGCTGCTGTGGAGAGGCTTCATTTAGGGACGTCTGGAGGGAAGGTGCTGGCTGAGTCTGTCTAGACCATTGGTCCTCAACCACCTTCCAGATGCTGCAACCCTTCACCCAGTTTCTCATGCTGTGGTGTGTCCCAATCATAAAAGTATTTTCATTATTATCTCATGACTGTAATTGTGCTACTGTTGTGAGTCATCATGTAAAGATGTGGTATTTCTGATGTTCTTAGGCCACCTCTGTGAAAGGGTCATTCAATCCCTAAAGGGTTGCGACCCACAGGTTGAGAACCACTGGTCTAGATGGCTGCCCTCTGGGCTTCTCTTTCTTCAAAGGCATGAAGGCCCCGCCCACCCTGCCACAAGAAACACAACATGTGGCCTGGGTATCACGAGGAGAGGAAGTGACAGCGCCACCCACCCACACCCTAGTGACCCCATCCCTAACCCCATCATCACAGCCCCACACGCCTCTCTCCAGCCCTGAGCAGAGGCACTGGAATTTGGCTCTGGTATCCCATCGAAGACGGAAGGGGACACTGTAGCCCAGCTCTGCCGTGTCGTCTGTAAGGATGCCCCGAGCAGAGGGGCTTTGTGTGGTGACTGCTTCCAGCTGGAAAGAACCATCAGCCAGGTGGTGGTGGCACAAGCCTGTAATCCTGGCATTTGGAAGGGGTAGGTAGGCAGATCTCTGTGAGTTTGAGGCCAGCCTGGTTTACAGAGCTCGTTCCAGGACAGGCTCCAAACTTACAGAATGGAGGGGTGTGGAGAGCAGTATTGGGACAGCGGTTGGGAGTTTAAACAGGCACAGCCCTAGGTAATATGGAACAAGAAAACGAGGGCAAGAACTTCAGAGAGGCCATGCTGGTGACCCAGTCCTTGGTCAGACCCCAGCCCCATCAAGGGTCCCCTGGAGTCACTTTCCAGAACCTCAGCAGTCACAGCAGGTTTATTAATGACGGTAGAGCACCGTGACACCCGACCTAGAGGGTCACACGGGGGCAACGGTGGTGTATGTGATGGCTGGGAATGAGGCAGGGCAAGGTGGGCAACCTGGTCTCCTGGGTGCAGAAGCCGGGCCGCAGGGACTACCTGAGCAGTCGGGTCTCCCAAAGACGCAGGTGCCACCGCTGTCCCCCACAGACATGGAGAAGCCCATGTTGGGCTATGGCCTCCCCAGAAGAGATGGCCGTGACGAGGGTCCTGAGCATGTCGGGGTTCTCCAAATGCCTGCCAGGCTCGGCGTACGCCTCACGTCTGTAGCTCTAGAAGGTGATGGGGCTCTCTGGGTGGGGCGCCAGCCAGGCTGGAGCTGTGGGCTTCCCGGAGGTCTTGCAGCACACAAAGCAACTGGGCCAGCGGGTCCTTGGGAGCTAAGTAGAGAAGCATCATGGGGAAGGCACGTATGGCTTCAAAGGTCTGCCAGCCCTCACCCATGTGCCGCTGGAGGCAGCTGAGGCCACCAAACCTGAGTCCCAGGTGGGAGGGACCTACCTCCACCACGGTCTGTGGGTGAGCTTGTTCCTGTTTCCCCACTCAGGAGCCGCTGCTTCTCCCTGCAGAGGAGGGCAGAGTGAGGGCCAGCAGCCACACCTACCTTGCAGGGAAGCCTCCCTGCATGTGGGCTCCCTGACCTGCAGGTGGCGCTCGGGGGGACGGGCGGATGCTTTCAGTCCACACGGAAAGGGTCTGGCTTCCACTTTCCGCTTCCAGTCATCTCCCTCTGCAGCCCACCCTTCAGATACCGAGAGGCCAGAACCCCCTTCACTCCCACTTTCAAAACTGTTCTCACCGTGTCTCCAAGCCTGTCCTTGAAATTCCATCCTCCTGCCTCAGCCTCCCTAGTGCTAGGGGTACAGGTGTGGGAACCATGCCTGGCCAGAAGGCCAATGGCAAACCAAGCCAAACTGTGTCCTGGTTTTGCAGGGCGTATGGGAAATCAGCCAGTTGGGTCCTGAAGTTCCTACCTGCCAGTAGGTTATGGGAGGAATTCAGGGATGGGGCCGCAAAGACGGAACCCAGTCTTATCTGAGCTAGACACTCATTCTGCTGTTTCTTTATTGTTTGTCTTTTGGGGGGGGGGTTGCTTGTTTTTGATACAGGGTCTCAAGATATAGACCGTGCTTGAACACTCTACCTTTCAGGTGCTGGGATTAAAGGCAGGAGCCACCACACTTAGCTGTTTTGGTTTCCGGGACGGGGTCTTATGTGGCCCCAGCTGGTCTTAAACTCACTATATCATAGAGAAAAACCTTGAACCTCTCATTGTCTTGCTTCCACCTCCAGAAGGCTGGGATTATAGGCATGAGCACTGTGTCCAGCTCAGGGATTTTTATTTGTTTGTTTTGGGTTTTTTTTTGTTTGTTTGTTTGTTTTTGAGACAGGGTTTTTCTGTGTAGCCCTAGTTGTCCTGAAACTGGCTCTGTAGACCAGTCTGGCCTAAACTCAAAGATCCACCTGTCTCTGCCTCCCAAGTTCTGCGATTAAAGGCATGCACCATTATGCCCAGCTTTTTTTTATCTCAAGAAAATTATTATTTTAAGTGTGTAAGTGTTTGTATGCATGTGTATGTCTGTGCACCATATGCATGCCAGGTACCCACAGAGGCCAGAAGAGGGTATCATATCCTTCTGGAACTAGAGTCACAGACGGTTGTGAGCTATCGGGTCAATGCTCTTAACTACTGAGTCCTCTCCTGCCCAGGTATTTGAGGGAAGGACAAAATCCCAGGAGATCGCTGAGTGCCAAGAAGGACCCTTGCTCCCCTGCTGGGATCTAGAGCACTGTGCACAGACAAGCAGGCCCTATTGTGTAGCCCAGGAGCTGAGACGGCCTTAGAGCATCCTCCAGCCTGCCCCGCCCAGTGGTTCAAAGCTGATGGGCCCAGACTTGCTATTTCACAAAGTCACTTTAGAAAGAAGCATTCTGGAGCCTGGCAGTGGTGGCACATGCCCAGAGGCAGGCAGATCTCTCAGTTTGAGGCCAACCTGGTCTACAGAGCTAGTTCCAGGACAGCCAGGGCTACACAGAGAAACCTTGTCTTGAAAAACAAAACAACAACAAAGCAGCACCTTGCTGTTTTCCAGGGTTCATAGTCAAATTTAAAAATCTTAACTGGCAAGCTAGCCCAGGAACTCATAGATCAGCTGGAGGCAAAGCCAGTGTTCTGATGCCATCTCTAGAAGGCTGGGCAGATGGGGTCAAATTAGCACAGAAAGCAGTTGTGGCCATGACCTCTAGCACCCTAATAGGAGATGACCTCGTTGTGCAGAAAGGCAGTTGGGGGGAAGGGTGCTTGGCCTCATCAAGAGAGGTAATGCAGGGCCAGCAAGATGGCTCAGCAAAGTAAAGGAGCTTGCTGCACAAGCCCAAGGACACGAGTTCAATCCCCGAGACCCACACGGAGTAGAAGGAGAGAACTGACTCCACAAGGCTGTCCCAACTCCATGGGAATGATGTAGAAGCACACGTCCCATGTATCCGTTACGTACACGCGAAACAACAACACATAAAGAGATGAGCACGCTGGGTGTGGTCATGCACCGTCACTTCAGCTACTTGAGAGACTGAGACAGGAGGATCACAAGTTCAAATCAATCCTGGGATACATTGCAAGACCCCGAGGACCAGGGAGCTAGCTCTGTGGGCAAATGCTTGCGCTGTAAGCATGAGGACCTGAGTTTGATCCACATGAAAGAGCCAGGCATGGTAGAATATGCTTGTAATCCCAGAACTGGGGAGGCAAAGATAGGTGGGAATTTGGGCTAGCCAATCTTGTCTAAGCAGTGAGATCAAGACTAATCACAGGTCTTGTCAAAAAAAAAAAAATACAAACACAACAGGAGGCTGGAGAGATGTCTCAGTGGTTAAGAGCATGTACTTCTCGCTGGACAGTGGTGGTGCACATCTTTAATCCCAGCACTCGGGATGCAGAGGCAGGTGGATCTCTGTGAGTTTGAGGCCAGCCTGGTCTACAAGAGCTAGTTCCAGGACAAACACCTAAGACTCCAGCTCTAGGGGATCTGGTGCCCTCTTCTGGCCTCCATAGGCACCTGTACTCATGTGGCATACAGAGACATACACACATGAAAATAAAAAGAAATATTTTTTTGTTTGAGATAAGGTCTCACTGTGCAGACTTGGCTGGCCTAGAATTTGCTATGTAGACAGTGTTGGCCTCCAACTGACTGAAATCCTCCTGCCTCTGCCTCCCAAGTGCTGGGATTAAAGACATGCACACCATACCTGGATACATCTTTTAAAAAAGCACAAGGTAAGAAAGCAGGCAGCACTCGAGGAGTGACATACAAGGTTGTCGTGTGGCCTCTACACACACATGCATACACCCACCATGCGGAAAAACGAACACGGAATCAAAGGCAAACAAAGAAATACAGAAACAAAAGACGGGCAGCCATTACTTAGCAACCCTCAGGTCCAGTTCAGGCCGCAGCCCTCCAGCTGCCCCTCCATGAGCCTCCTCACCGAAGTGCAGCCTCCACGCCTAGCAGGTGCTTGTAGAGGAGCTGAGCCTCAAGGTCATGGTCCAGGGGGTCATTCCATTCCTGCAGGGTCACCCGAGAGTGGGTCCTGTCACAGCCCTGGTCTGGAGGCAGAGACAGGGCAGAGTTACAACGGAGACACCATTTCCACCTTCCCGGAAGTACAGAAAGGGGAAACTGAGGCTGGGAGTGACGGCAGGGTTGATGAAGGGGCCCCAGGGGTGGTAAGGTGGCCTTGGCTCTGTCTGTCACTATCTACACTTTGGCTGCGGTAGATCATCTTGGCTTCAGCTGCTAGACCACACAGTCTATACTGGGGACTGTGGGTGTCCTGTGGCAGTCAGATCAGGGGAGCTGGTAGTTTTCTGGAGGGTTTGTCTGGAGGTTTCCCTGAACTACAAGAACATGGTCGGGTGGGCCCGAGCTTCTTGTATTGGAATGGACTGGTCCTGTTACTCACCAGCTCTGCCACGTTTGCCCACTCTCCTGCCCACTGGAAGCCTCTGTTGTAGACTGTGGACATGCCTTAGCAATAGAGCTGTTGCCTAGACCCCCTGAGTGAGGGGCTGGGGAGTGGCTGTGTGGTGGCAGAGTTGGTTACCTAACACGTCTGTGGGTCTGAGTTCCATACGTAGCAACACACACACCACACACACACAAAGTCTTAGGCTCTTCCCAGTAAAATGAAATCTCCGGTTGTGTCCTGGGCCACAGTGAGGCCCACAACGGCTTTAATGAGGGAACTGCTCTGAGGGCCACAAGGAGCCATCAATTCAAAGCCAGGGCAGAGAGGGTGCAGTCAGTGCATTGGGATACAGGGCTTTTCCTATGCCAGGCTCTGGGGGCTGAGGCTCAGAGGGCAGGGGGTCCAAGTCTTCAACTCTGAGTGGGGAAGGTCGTGAAATTTCCAGAATTGATGGACACTGTGTCACATGACTATGATGCCAGAACTGAGGAGGGCTGGAGAGATAACGACTCTGCAGGTAAGAGCACTGGCTACCGTTGCAGAGAATCAGGGTTTGATCCCCAAAACTCACGTGGTCACCCAGGCGGGGGACCCAACAAACTCTTCCGACCTCTAAAGGCACCTCCTCACAGACACGTGACACACAGATGCACATGTATATACATAAATAAAACAAATGTTTATTAAAAATAAACATACAAAAAAAAAAGGCGGGCGGTGGTGGCGCACGCCTTTAATCCCAGCACTTGGGAGGCAGAGGCAGGTGTATCTCTGTGAGTTCGAGACCAGCCTGGTCTACAAGAGCTAGTTCCAGGACAGGCTCCAAAATCACAGAGAAACCCTGTCTCGAAAAACCAAAAAAAAAAAAAAAAAAAACCAAAACATAAATCTTTAAAAAGAGAGAGATACTAATGAATTTTCGGCTTTGTCAGAATATCCAGAACACGTACATAGCATACCCTTTGCCCAGCATTTACCAAACCACCCAGTCACACAGCTCTTTCTGTGCCCAGAGCACCTGCAGGGCTGGCTTTCCTTGGGCAGCTTTGCCGCAAGTCAGCATGTGGCTTTCCAGCCAGGCTGTCCCAGCGTATCTCAAGAAGCCTTCTCCCAACCTACGACCTGCTTGGGACGGAGGTGGAGGGACCCAGCACCCCACCTGTCCTGTCCTTCTGGTGACAGCAGCTCCACTTGTCCCCGCGGAAGACGCCAGGGTGGTACAATCCCAGGAGTCCCGTGTTGTTGATGCTCACCTTCCGCAGTGCGGACAGCCACTGGTTCAGCTCATTCACACACTGTGGGAACAGCGTCTCCGTGGTCAACCTTCTTCCTCCCTGAGCCACCTCCCCAGCCCTCTCAGGCACTCTACTTGATACAGATCAAACTAGAGCAACCCGGGAAGAGGGAAGTCAAAAGAGGAGCTGCCGCCATCAGATTAACCTGCGGAAGCCAGTGGGGCATTCGATTTTGATGACTGCTGTGGGAGCCCCCACCCCCCACTGTGGGTGGCACCAGCAGCGTGCAGCTGGTCCTAGGGGGTACAAGAAAGCAGACTGAGCAAGACATGAGAAGCAAGTCAGGAAGCTGCATTCTCCATGGGTTCAGTTCCTGCCTCCAGGCTCCTGTCTGGGGATTCTGCCTGGCTTTCCCTGATGATGGACTATAACCTGGAAGCCAAGTAAACCCGTTCCTCCCCAAGTTGCTTTTGGTCACAGCCTTCATCACAGCAACAGAAACCTAATTAAGACACCAACCTTCAGCCCCTCACTGGGGGATTCTAGGCAGGGGCTCTATAGTTTGAATCATGCCACACACTCCCTCCAGAATATCACTTGACTTTTTTTTTTTTTTTTGATTTTTTTCGAGACAGGGTTTCTCCGTAGCTTTTTTGGTTCCTGTCCTGGAACTAGCTCTTGAACTCACAGAGATCCGCCTGCCTCTGCCTCCCAAGTGCTGGGATTAAAGGCGTATGCCACCACCACCCAGCCTTCACTTGACACTTTTAATATTTACTCTTGGGAACTAAGGCATTGAGTCCCAGGCTTGCCTGACCTACAGTGAGTGTTAAAAAAAAATCCAGAACAGAAAAGAAAAAGGCAAGCAAGCTTTGAGTCACAGGAACTTTAGATATCTATCTAGCCATACACATACCTACATATGGAGGCCCATAGCATGCATGGACCACGCATCTGGGCATGAGACCCGAGAACACTAGACACACACAGCCTGAAGTACCTAACGTGGCCGACAGGGGGCGAGGGGGACTCCTGAATCCCCTCCCCACAGCGCCTTCCACAGGTCGCACCTTGCACTGCAGGTAGACAGTCTGGGACCGGCCAACATCGTCTGCATAGATGATCTGCATGACGTGGGAGCTGCCAAAGCTCTTTTCCTCCACCTTCTCCGCAGCCCGGATACTGGCGAGCTTGATGAAGGCGCTTTTCTGGGGCAGCCAGAAAAAGGAGGCTGAGGGGGCCAGGCAAAGCAGGGCTGTTCTACTTTCTTCTCTGGCCTCCACATCCCCTTCAGCAGGAGGAATTAGGGCTTACTCATGGCTCTTGTTCCCAGGGGCCTGCTCTGGGAAGGGATCTCAGCTACAATCAAGCACAGGTTGGAGTGTGACCAAACCCCAAGACCCTGCAAATGATACCCGGGAATGGGAGGGGAGCTAAGCATAGGCTTATATCCAGACACCCCTTCTCTGGGTGACAAACGCCCAGGTATTGAGGCTAAACCTGCTTTTAGGGTTTGCGTCATGAAGGTCTGCATGCGGAGTATGTGGTAAGCTAAAATACCATACCCGTAAGCACTCTGCCCACTAGGCTATATCCTATTTGCCCTTTTGTTTTGAGACAGGGTCGGTCTCATGTAGTAGCCCAGATTAGCTTTGAACTTTGATCAGTTGAGGCTGATCTTGAACTCCTGATCCCCCTGCTTCCACCTCCCAGTTGCTGGGATTATAAGCATCACCATCCTAGACAGCTTCCCTTCTCGCTCACCTTGGAGCTGGATGTCTTGGCGAAGCTGAGGGCTTCGGTAGTGAGAGAGAAGTACAGTTTCTTGAACGAGGAGGACGCAAGAGGGCCTTTGCCTTTGGTCCTGTGGATGAACAGCGGACCCTCCTTCACTGGCGGTGCCTGCGAGTTCAATGCCCGCTGCAGGTCCAGCTCTGGAAAGCAGGCAAGAAAACGATGGAGGGAGAGCCTCTCGAGGAAACTGATTGGGAAGATTAGGGGAGGAGCTAAGAACGACTAGAGTTGAGTCAAGCTGGGGGCGGAGCAAAGGCAAATCGAACTGTGATTAGTGGTGGGCGGGGCCGTGGGTAAAAAGGGCCAGGGATGACGGTCTGGCCAGGAAGTGTTGGCATATCCCCAGCACCACATAAAACCGGGCTTGGTGGCACATGCCTGTAATCGCATCCCTTTGGAGGCAGAGGCAAGAGGATCATAAGGTTTAAGGTTATTCTTGGCAGTGGCTTGCGGCCAGCCTTGGGTTACATGGGACCTGGTCTATAACAAACTAACAAAAATTGGAGCGGGCAGAGAGTACTGGCTTCGTTTCGGTGGGCAGGGCGGTAGGCGGGGTTAAGTAATAGACTTGCACGAACGCCTTGGGCGCAGTACTGTGGGGAAGTCCTTGCCTTCCTTCTCTTCTATGTCCACGAGCTTGGAGATGAAGTCCTTCAGCTGCGCCACACCCTGGCGCACAGTGGGCTGTAGCGGTTCCATCCACGCCTCCTTGGCCCTGGAGACCGGTGTGTCCAGATTGCCCACATTCTGCACAACCTAGGGGTGACAGCAAGAATGACAGAGCTTTGGGGGAGACAACAGTTCTTCCATGGCTACCTACCTCAGCCTAGCAACAGAGACGGAGGCCGAGGAGGCAGAGGCCTGACTGTGGTCCTAGGTGGGACTCGGGGATTCATGGATCACGGCAGTTTGAAACTTTGGACACCTGGTAACTTGGAACCAAGCTTACTGCTTTCGTCTGCAAGTCTGCCTAATCTTATCATCGTGGGCACGTGTGAAGTCCGCTGATGACTGTGTGAGTTGGTTCTCCCCTTCCACCATGCGGGCTCCAAGGATGGAACTTGGGTCATCGGGCTTGGCAGCAAACATACTACCTACTGAGTCGTCTTGCTGGCCCCGCAAGTTTCATCCTAATATCAGACTGCAGATACATGCAGACCTGGGGATAAAACCTGGGTTCGAAGATCCCAGTTTACTCTACGGGCTCTGGGATTTGTCTCCTTATGTATGTATTTATGTATGGGGCTCTCAAGAGGTGGTCACAGGAATGCTTTGTAAACTGTGAAGTGCAATGCCATAGAGTACCAGTAGCCTGGATGCAAGGCCTTCCTAGTGCTAACGGTGCAACACAAGGATCAGGCCAGGCTCCCTTTGCAACCTAACTGGCCTTCCCATCCCAGTCTGCAAGTCCACACCTTGGCCAGCAGGAGTAGCGTGCGGCTGGTCCGAGCATCTGCATGCCGCTCTCGCAGATGGAAGAGCTTGGGCGACATGATGGCAGGAGAGAAGAAGCGTAGGCACAGGAAGCTAGTGACAGCGATGAATGGTACATTCTGGAAGGGTGCAGAGAGTAGAGACTGGTCTAGAAGCCTGTCTGTCTTCCAGGGCCTACACCCCGCCGGATTCCCTTTCCTCTCTGCCTTCGACTCTGCCGACAGGGGTCGCACCTGATGCTGGGCACTAGGAAAGCGCTCCCGCACGCGCCGGAACAATTGCCGGAAAGTGGCGCGGACCACAGCTGGGCATGCGCGAACCGAGCGGCATAGTGCGCTCAGCAGCGCCACCAAGTGGGTACGCAGCGTCTGTGCGCTCTGCTCCAACACCTCGGCCTCCGTCTGTGGGCGGTGCAGCCCAGAGCACCTGTACCGGCAGGAATTAACCAACGGAGGGTGAGAACGTGGTGGCAGGGGCTCCCCTTGGACATCGGACACAGAGAGAAAGGACAAGTGAACCCAGGCCGAAGGAACCATAAACACTTGGATACGGGGCCTGATTCCGCACAGTTATGCACCCAGCGATCACCCCGGCCTCACCCTACATCCTTAACTTCCACTTTGCTGGGGTCCAGCTCCACATATTTCTTCTCCTCGAACACTCTGTCAATAATGGGGCCCAGGATGCCATGCAGATAGCGCATTCCTGCCACCTGGGGGCCACCAGAAACCACACTAGTTAACCATCCTGTGTACCATCTGACTGGAGTATTGACTCAGCTTTGGGCCAGATGCACAGTTAGACTCAGCGTACTTCAGTGAATGTGTCTACATGCATGCATGCATGAATAAATGCATGTATAGATGAATTAATAAATGGATGATGGAAATGTTGGCCTTCAAGGGCCGTAGACAGACAGAACTACCTTCTGCGTATCTGAGGGTCTTTATTCTCTAAGATCACCATGCAACCTCACCTTCAGAAAACACTCCATGGATTTCGAGGCCAGAGAATTGCTCCGGAAGAGGGTGTTGGCCTCACCTGCAAGCACAAATTCTAGTGGGCAGGGAGCTGGAACAAGGCCTCGGAGGCCGGAGGACAAAGGGATGGAGTCTCTCAGTGGCCCCTCAGTAGATGCTCTTCTGAACATTTCCCACCTGCCCCATCCGGATTATTTGTTCTTTATTAGGGAGGGGATGACCCTGCTTCCATATTAGAGGGGCCTATCAATGCGCTAATGAGGGCTTTCTCCACCCCGCCTGGGGCAACTCCTCTCAGGCCTCACTGGTTCGGCCCAGCTCCAGCTGAAAGAGCAGGTCCAGAAAGTCCTTGGCCAGTCCCTGCCCCAGGAAAAGCTTGAGCAGGGTGGTGGCCACTTCCTGGCGACACTCGGCTCTTGTCGTCTCCTCGATGACGGGAATCAGCTGCCCTGGGCCCTGCAGAAAGCAGCAGAACCGTGGGGCTCCAACCCACCAAGGAACATGACCCTCCCCGGGGTTAAGACCTCAGAGCATCAAGGGGAGGTTGTAGGGACAGGGCCGGGGTCTCTGGACATTGGTGAGTGCATTCCCAGCCCCAGGAGTCAGCTGGACAAGCGAACTGCTCAACTAAGCATGGACGCTGCCAGTTTCCCTCAGGGCCTCCTCACCTGGGTGCCCAGCTTCACCTCCTGGCACAGGAGCTGCACAAGAGGCTGATAGCAGGTGGATGGCAACACTGTCTCATCCCGCAGCCGCACCTCCAACTGTAAGGAGCCCAGGTTGCCCCTGGAACGGGCAGTCTGTGATCTCTCCACCAGGACCTAGTTTCCCTGAGCCACACCCACTCACAAAGGCTCAAGCTCTGTTCCTTTGAGATCAGCCACACATTCCCTTTGCTTACGTCCATCAGCTGCCTTGCAAGTCCCTCCCCCAGCTGTGCCTTTCTATGTCCCTGTCTGGAAGACCCTTCTTGCCCAATTACCCAAAGAGCTCCCACCCATCTTCAAAGCCTAGTTCTTTTTTTTTAAAGACTTATTTATTTATTATGTATACAACATTCTGCCTCCATGTATGCCCACATGCCAGAAGAGGGCACCAGACCCCATTACAGACGGCTGTGAGCCACCATGTGGTTGCTGGGAATTGAATTCAGGACCTCAGGAAGAGCAGCCAGTGCTCTTAACCACTGAGCCATCTCTCCAGCCCCAAATTCTAGTTCTTTCATGCCTCCTGACTCCAGTGGACCACGGGAATCCACCCGAGTATACCAAGGTTTCATATTCCAAATCTATCAACTCCTGAACACCACCACGTCACCTGTACGCTTTACCCAGGAAGCAAGTGGTTAACCTACCAGAGAAATTCCAACTCAGGCAAGTCAGGCAGCACGCCATAGTAAATCTAACCACCAAGATTCCATGGCTCTTCTGGAGAGGGCACCGACTAAGGCTATCAATGTTCCTTATGGCTACCACTACCCTCCCCACGGGGCACACTGAGGCAGCCACACTGCCCAGCACACACCCCGTGAGCTGACGCCATCAAGGTTGTCCTAGACTGCTTCTAGGCAAAGCCTTGGGCTGGACACACCCCTGGCCATCTGCCCACGCCCTGAGACGGGTACGGATGAGGGATGTGGGCCCTCCTTCAGGGAACCAAAGCTGAGTCAGTCGAGAAATGTAACAGGGACAGAAACAAGCCAAAGATTCTTCTAGATGGGGCCGCCAGACTGAGCAGAATAAAAACACAAGACAGGGCTGGAGAGATAGCTCAGAGGTTAAGAGCACTGATTGTTCTTCCAGAAGTCCTGAGTTCAATTCCCAGCAACCACATGGTGGCTCACAAAACCATCTGTAATGAGATCTGGTTCCCTCTTCCATCCTGCAGACACTGATACATAATAATTAAATCAATCAATCAATCTTAAAAATAAACCCACAAGACACCAAGCTAAATTAGTGAAGTTTTAGTATCAATATGGCTTGAATAATGCCTGATCGTCTTTCTTGAGACAAGATCACACCTTGTAGATTCAGGCTAGCCTGGAACTCTAGATCCTCCTGCCTCAGTTTCCTAAGAGCTTCGATTACAGATGTGAACCACTGCACCTGGTTTGCATTCTTTTTTCTTTTTCGTTCTCCTTCCTTCCTTCTCTCCTTCCTTCCTTCCTTGCTTTTTTGTCTGTTTGTTTTGTTTTCTTAGTATTTTTTTTTTCAAGACAGGGTTTCTCTGTGTAACAGCTCTGACTGACCTGGAACTCACTCTATAGACCAGGCTGGACTCAAACTCACAGAAATCCGCCCGCTTCTGCCTCCCGAGTGCTGGGATTAAACGCGTGTGTCACCACACCTGACAATGGCTTGCATTCTTACATTAAACTGGGGTTACACGGGTGTGTCATTCTGCTTCACTCCAGGTGTCCCATCTGTGCACACTTGCACATGCCACTGTGCGTGTGTGAGGTCAGAGGATCGCTCGAGAGAGTCGGGGTTGCCGGCTGCTGAGCCATCCTGACAGCACAGGGTGCTCTGGTGTTTATTTAATTTTTATCTTTCTGGTACTGGAAACCAGACCTATGGCGCGTGCCTACAGGGCAGGCACTCTACAACGGGTATATCCCCAACTTTGCCTTGCCTTTCATACGGCAAGTCTATTTCTGGAGACTCTTGGGGAATGAGGGTTTGAAGTATGGCTCTGAGACACTCTCTCTAGGGACCAGACAGCTGCAAGAAAGCCCTTTAAAGGAAGGAGTCTGAGGACTTATTCTAGAAAGTGCCAGGACTCACAAAACAGGAGATCCATGCATAAATTTTAGCTCAGAAGACAAAGGAATATAAAAACAGCAGGAAGGTCCCACCAGTATGAGAGAGGGGCTGGCGCAGTGGGCAAAGGCTGAAGAACACGTGACCTCTGTACTCTTGGCCCCCGACCAATCAACCACCGGTAGGAACTCTGTATCAGCACACACCCCAAGGCCCAGGGTGGCACTTACCCGCCTCGTTGGCTTTTGGACTGATCAGGTTGAAGCCGGAACCAGCCCTCTTCCTGCCGGGCTGAATGCAGTCTCTGGACATTGACAACCACCTGGGAAATGGGTAGATCAGGGCTGGGACACTTAGGTCACCTCCTAGCCAAGTGCTGATCTTTTATCTTTTCTTTTTCTGAAGCTGGGGATAGAACCCAGGGCCTCACAGATGTTAGGCAGATGCTCTACTACTGAGCCACACCCCAGCCCCTCACTGGGGGATTCTAGGCAGGAGATCTACCACTGAACCACACCATCAGCTAACAATAACTATTGTGGTAACTATTCTTGGTTGTCAACTTGACTACATCTGGAATTAACAAAGACCCTGAAAGAAGAGGGTACATCTGTGAAGGATTTCTGCTTCCGTTGAAGTAGGAAGATCTACTTTTATTTTTCAAGACAAGGTTTCTCTGTGTAGCCCTGGCTGTCCTAGAACTTTGCGGACCAGGCTGGTCTTGAACTCAGAGATCTTCCTGCCTCTTCCTCCCCAGTGCTGGAATTGCAGATATGAGCCACCAAGCCTGGCTTGTTGTTTCATGTTCTGAGTTAGCATCCCACTATGTGCCCAGGGTGGCTTCAATTTTTTTTTTTTTTGGTTTTTCGAGACAGGGTTTTTCTGTGGTTTTAGAGCCTGTCCTGGAACTAGCTCTTGTAGACCAGGCTGGTCTCGAACTCACAGAGATCCGCCTGCCTCTGCCTCCCGAGTGCTGGGATTAAAGGCGTGTGCCACCACCGCCCGGCTGGGTGGCTTGGCTTCAAATTTACAACAATCCTCCTGCGTCAGAATCCCAAGTGCTAGGAACACTACCATGCCTGGATTACTTTTTGTTTTGAGACAGGGTCTGGATGAGTTGTCCAGGCTGGCTTTGAATTCACTCTGTGGCCCAGGTGGACCTTGAAATGAAGATCTTGCCTCAGCCCCCCCCCCCAAAATATCTGGGACAGCAGGCTTGCATTATTGGGACCTGGCTTCCAGTATTGTTCTCCTAGCACGGAGGGGTGCCTTGAAAGGGTCCAGAATACCAGAGCTGCCAGATGGGAGGAATCCCAAGCTTACTACCTGAGAAAGCCGGTGGCATGGCCTGAAGGGATACCAGATGCTGCAGGTGGGGGGTGTGACCTGGGCAGGTGGGGGGTGTGACCTGGGCAGGTGGGGGGTGTGACCTGGGCAGGTGGGGGCTGTACCCTGGGCAGGTGGGGGCGGGGCTGGTGCTTACTTTGCCTAGAAAGTCATTCCGGCTAACAAGGTCCCAGTCCCAGGCCTCCACGGACAGTGCTTCTGCGGTTTCCTCCTCCAGCTCAAATTCAAATGTCTCGTTCCAGCGTGGGTAGCAGGATTTCTTCACCACCTGCTCCGAAAGGAATAGTACAGTGGTTCAGTTCGCAGGGCTACCCAGGGCCAGAGCACGGTAGCCCTACCCCACACAGCTCCCCTGGCTCTTAGCGCTTCCAGACCCAACCAGGAGGGGTGGAGAAAGCCCGTCCCTCAGCTACTTAGGAGGCAAGAAGACTGAAAGGTCAAGGCCAGCCTGGGCTACAAAGGGAGTTCAAGGCCAGCCTGAGCAACTTAGTGAGACTCTTCCTCCAAAAATAAAAACAAATGCCTTAAACCTATGAGTAAAGAAAACAGCAATTCTAGGTGCGCTCTAGTCCTCACTGCTAATGTGAGATGAACTGTTGAGCGGGTAAAGTCTGCCGCTAAGGCAATCCACCTACAAATCACTAAATATAAGAAAAAGGGCTGGGGTGTGGCTCAGTGGTAGAGCCTCTGCCTAGAATCCCCAGTGAGGGGCTGGGGTGTGGCTCAGTGGTAGAGCCCTTGCTTAGCATGTGAGTCTAGGATTCAATCCCCTATACCGAAGAACTACTTCATAAGACATCACACACTCCACCATGGGGGAAACTGAGGTCCAGAGTGGACATGGGACTTGTCCAAGGCCACACAATAAAGCAGACTGCACGGAGCCCAGCTCTGGATAGGCTTCCCCGGGCTGCCACCTTCATGATGATGTTCACAGAGCTAAGAAAATCTAGACTGGGAAACCGTTCCAGAGTTTCCATGTTCCCCACTCCACCCCAGTCGGTCCCCCAGCTTCCTCACCGAGGTCTCCTGGGTCTGGCCATTGTAGTGCACTCGGACGAAAGGGTCAGAGGCGCCATTCCTGTCTTTGGGGGCTAGATCCCTGGGGGTGAGATGGGACGGGGATTACTGCTCCTGGGGTTTGTCTGCAGGTGAACACAGCAGGCTGGGAAGGCTTGGCCCATCCAGGCCTGCATGCTGACTGGATGGCAACTCGCCCCTCCCCCACCAGTCACGCATCGCCCCCTTTGCCCTCCTGACTGAATAACTGCAAAGATGCCACTGTGCCTGACTGTGGGCAGCAGATGAGGGGTCAAGAACACCTGGGAACTGTCAGACATAATGCTTCTGTCTCAGCACGCAGGAAGCTAAGGCAGAGGATCTCGAGTTTGAGGCTAGCCTGAACGACACACTCAGTCTGAGATACATAGGAAGACACTCTCTCAAAAAGTGTGTGTGGTGGTGGTGGTGGGGGCAATAGTGTCCTCCCTACCTGACTCTGAGAGGAGGCTATTGTGGCTGCAGTCCCTGGAGCAGAGGACAGAGAGGTGACTCACGGAGGGAGGAACACGTTTCTGTGTTAACCATCCTTTTTATTTGGGGGGGGGTCTTTTTGAGACAGGGTTTCTCTGTGTAGCCCTGGCTGTCCTTGATCTAGCTCTGTAGACCAGGCTGGCCTCTAACTCACAGAGATCCACCTGCCTCTGCCTCCCAGGTGTTGGGATTAAAGGCCACCACCACCCCACATATGTTACCCATCCTGACGAGTAGAGATGCATGCTTAAGTGATGGTCCCAAGGTCCTGAGGTTGGATGTTTAGAACACATTGCCCTAGGCAGCTTTGTGCCACAAGGGCTGAGGATGGAGGCAGGTGGGAGCCGGGATGGAGTGGGAAGAACATGGACCCATTCCTCATGGCTCCAGCCTCAGGGCAGAAAATAGAGCTGGGGGCAGCCACCAGATATCCAAAGTGTCAACCATGAAATGCATGTCCCTCCAGGTACCAAGGAGACCACTTCCTCCCCATGGGCTAACAGCCTCAGGGTAAGGGGCATATTTAATTTTTTGTTTATTTTGTTTTGTTTTTGTGGAACTGACCGGCCAGACGCTGCTCACTGACCCCAGGGGTAAACTGGAGGGGCTGTGCTGTCCACCCACACACTCAGCCTGGACATGTCATTCCCTTTGCTCCTATAAGAGAATGTGAACACACACACACACACACACACACACACACACACACACACACACAGGCACTCATACACAGAGGCGGGGCCAGGGACGACTGGACAGGGAGGAGGAAACTGGAGCCAGAAGGGAAGGCGCCTCTCCTGGAGTGTCTGTGAGTCACAGCCAGGCCCAGACAGGAGTGGGGACAGAGGTTAAAAATACCCTAGGGCTGGGGGTTAAACCTGTCATAGGTGACTCAGGCCCACAGAGTCATTCAAGCCATTGTCCCACCCCCACACCCTGTCTGGACATATTAACAATTTTTCCCTTTTACCCATGTGAGAGACCATAAACACACACACACACACTCACACATGTGAACACACACTCACATGCACACATGTGAACACACACACAGGGTAAGTATATACTGGCACTGGATAAGGAAGCCCAGACCTAGCACTGGGACACTGGTGTCTGAGCACACAAGGGTGCACACTACCCCTGCAGGCCAATCCCCACATCCCCTCCCTCAGTCCATCTCACCTGGCCTCAAGCACTGAGCAGCGCAACCGGCTGGCATGGGTCCCCGGCACCACCTCCAGGCGCAGGTGGATCTCGCCCTGCACCTCCTCATTCCGGTCCACCTCCATCAGGTGGGTCCAGCCACTGAATCCTGCGGGGCTTCACATCAGCCAAGGATGGGGCCCACCCCCCACTCCCTTCAGCCCACCTGCTACCCAGAGCTCCTCTATTACACCTTGAAGTTCTCTAGATATTCCCAGTGACAGATGGGGAAACTGAGGCCCAGGCACATGGCAGGAGTTGGAAGTGCGGAGATATTTAGTTGCATGTATTGTGTGGGGCTGTGCTTTTCTGAGCATGCAGGGGCCAGAGCTGGATGTTGGGTATCTCTTGCTATCTTATATTGTGAGACCGAGTCAACCTGAAGCTCCCCACCCCCATTTCAGCTAGGCTGGTTGGTCAGTGAACTCTAGGGTCCACCTATCCCTGACAACACTGGAGTTACAGGCACAAGCAGCCATGCCTGGTTTTTCCTTGCGTCCTGGGACAACAAGAGCTCTCCATCATGAAGTTAACTCCTCATTCCCTGCTCTCTCCTTATAAAGAAGGCTCTCATGTAGCCCAGGTTGGCCTCACTGCCACTATGTATCTGAGGATGACCTCACGCTCCCAATCCTCCTGCCTCCACCTCCCCAACGCCAGGATTACAGGCACGTACCCTGTAATATTGAGGTTGGAATTTAAGTCAGAGGTCGGGGTTCTAGGTCCGGGTTCTAGACCTTCATTATCGTTCTGTGCTTTGATTGCATGCGCCTGACTCTGACTGGTTGTGGAACTACTGACTCTATCCTCAGCTTTCCCTCCTTAAAACACGAGAACAGTGGCTCCCTCCATCCTGTAGTGATGATCCACAGGCCAGATGTGGGTGCTAAGGGAGCCACCAGCAAGGAAATGCACCAGGAACACCTGGTCAGCTGGGGCTGCAGCAGGAGAGGCCACCAGCCTGGCCAGGCCAGGAGGCTCCATGAGTCAGCAGAGCCTGCCACCCCCTCATCCCCACCCCCAGCCTCACAGACAGGAACAGGTGCGTGCCCTGGGAAGCCATGAGACAGTCAGAGGCTCGGCTGGCAGAGCCCAGAGGACCCACGAGCTCTTGGGCTCAACCACCTGAAAAGCCCAGAGAGGCCAAGACCTGTCTGAGGTTCCACAGTGAGACCTGGGCAGGGCTGAGACTTCAAAAAACAGTGTGTATTCTGGAAGTAAGCCAAGCGGCCCTGAATCTGGACCGGCATCAGGCCAGTCCCCTTGGGTCTGGGACTCAGGTGTGGGGAATGGATGGAAAAGAGGAGCTACGTTGAGTGGTGGGCGTCAGGTACTAAATAGACCTCTGGGGAGATGGGACATCTTACCCTTTGGGTGAGAGGCTAGCATATCCCTCGTGAGGCAGACCTTCCCAATAACATCGTCCCGGCTGGGGGTGGAAAGAGAGAGTCAGAGCTGAACTATGGAACGAATTTCCCTGGAGCCCAGCAAACTCAGCCCTCCAAGCCCAGCCCCCACCCTCCAGGAAGCCATCAACTGCAGGACAGCACAATAGGGCAGATCGCAGGACGCTTGTGCAGGCTGTGGACACTCTCACGGTGATCTAAAACACACCAAACTCGTGCCCCCTGGGTACCCACTTCATAGCTCACGTCACAATGCGCATGCACACGTGTGTGCAGCTAGTTCATACGCAAGCTCAGCCCCTCCTCCTCCCAGGCCCTCTGGACACCCTCACCAGTGCAGCGCACAATAGGATGCAAAGAGGCCAGCAGTCAGCAATGGTCACATCCTGGTCCAGCTGCAGAGCAGGGCAAACTTACCTGAGAGCATCCTCATCCATGACATAGAAGGCCACCGCGTGGAACGTGGGAGGCAAATGAACTTGATACTCCTCACCCCAGAAGGGGCACAGGGTCTTCCACACAGTGGCTGTCCTACAGGAGAACGCCCCTCAACATCTGGCCATGCCACCCCTACCTCCTTTGTATCTGGTACCCGGTAATCACATTGGTTGAGCACATGTTTCCTTCCCATCTTTCAGTCTTTGCTGCTGGCTTCCTGTCCACCCTGGATAGGGGATGAGCTATTACTGTAATTCGGGGACATGGATCTCACAGTTGACGGTAGCCAGTCTCGAGTAGTAGGGCAGAGGCAGAGCAGCGCCCCCCACCAGAACAGGGCTGTCAATCAACTCATGGGATTCAACAGAACACATGGTTTCATGGGAGCTGAAGTCACCAGAGGACCAGATGGAAGCTCAGGAGGCTGCTCCGCCCCAACTACTTCTCAGGAAGGTCATGAGGATGCCGTACAGTCTGCTTCTCTGTCTGTGTGGGGCAGAACCACCATAGCCCTCTCCCTGTGTACTGCCCATGGTTTAAAGAAGGCCTGAATTTAGGCTTAGCTTGCAATTGGTACGAGGTGTCAGTAATGGCTGCACCGGTTCAGGTGTGCATGGCAACCCAGTAGCTCTGGGCATGAACTTTAGAGGATGGGGTCCAGGTGGTGGATGGGCTAGAACAGCAAACTCCATGGAGTTGGAGTTGGCCAGATAGCGCATTGGGTTGAAAGAGCTTGCTGCCCAGCCTGAGAGCCTGGGACCCACATGGTGGAAAGAGAGAACAGAATCCTGCAAATTGCTCTCTGACCTTCGCCTACAAACTGGGGTGCACTTCCCCCATCCCTAAATAAATAAACAATAAAATAAATAAATAATAAAATGAATGACAATACATTTTAAAAACACATCAGGGACTGGTGGAGAGGGCACACCCAGAGGAAGCGGCCCTTCCGGGTTGAAGAACGGATTTATTGGGAATGATCTCTGTGAGAGAATCTCTCAGAGGGAGAGCGGCACCAAGACTGAGCAGAACAAAGTTCTGGGGTAAGCCAGACTTGACTTCCAGTCTGGGTTTGTCAGTTCCTTCGGTGTGAGGCCCTGGGCACGTTACCTGGTCTGAGCCTTACTTTCGCCACCTGCCCATTGTAATGAATTCCAAGGGCTGATAAAGGGTTAGCCGGGAGACTGGTGGAGACAGTGTTCTAACTGCTCATCACCGGTCTCTCTGGTGAAGATGGAACCAGGCAGGTGACAATTGCTTGCCCGCAGGGCAGGAGATAAGGATAGCTTCTGGCTGAGTTTGCTGTAACTCCAAAGTTACAGGTCGGGTCTTTCTCAGCTTGGAGCAGAGACAGTACCGGAGCCCCAGAGAGATGAGGGACTCCTAGCCTTCATCCATATCCTCCAGGAGGAGCAGGTGGCTGGATGATGGTCAGTCAGCCCTGGATTCAGGAAGGGAGCAACAGGTACCTGATGATGGGTTCATTGTCCACCTTCACGATGCAGTAGGGGTCGCTGCTGCCCGTGCTGCAAGACAGAAGGGCAAGGGACGGGGTTGGCTGGCAGCCAGATGACACCAGGCTGGGTGAGATCCGAGAGGAGGGGAGGGGGACTAAGGCGGGAACGTTGCCTGGGGGCGGGGCTAGGGACACTGACGGGGTGGGGCCTAGGGCGGAAAATTTGCTGGAGGCGGGACTTAGGAGCGGGGCTGAAACAAGTTCTAGAGGAGCCCGGCGGGGGCGAAAAGGCAAGGTGCTGGGGACGGAGCACTGGGATGGATCCTTGCCGGAGGGCTTGGGGGAACGGCGGCCGAGAGGTCTGGAGGAGAGGCCGAGGGGACAAGCCTGATGAATGAGGAACTACTACGGAGGTGGTGCTGTGGGCGGGGCTTTTGCGAAAATCCAGGACCTGGGCGGGGCTTGTGGGGAAGTAAGCGAAGGGGCTGGGGAAACCATCTAAACCCGGGCCAAGGAGGGAAGCTTTCCGCGGGTGGGGCTGGTGGGAGGCCTGCTGGGGCGGGACTTGTAGGAAACTTTCTAGGGGCGGGGCTTAGGCAGCTTTAGCTCTGGAAATTTCGGGGAAGGGGGACGGGAGGGGGAAGAAGACAGGCAGTGCCGTCCATCTGCCTGAGAAGGCATCCCGAGAAGACAGTGGAGACTTGGGCACCGTCTCCAGGCTGCAGCCCAGAGGCTTTCAGAACACGAGCCCCTGGGAGGGGGATGAAGAGGGCTTCCGAGTCCACGGTGTGTGTGTGTGGGGGGGGGCACCACTCACTGCTCCTTCCCCACCCCTCGGCTTGGTGCCAAAACAGTCGTAGCAACAAAGGCCAGGCATCTCCCAGCACCTCTAGCCTCCACACCGAAGGCTGTCCCTGCATGTTTCCCTTTGAGTCTTTCCCCTGTTGACAGCCTGCTCCTGTAAAAACCCTCTCCTGCCTCGGAGACAGAGGCCCTTTGGGATCCTGCAGGCTCCAGCTCTTGCTACTCTTCGATTTTCTGCACCCCAGGCCGGGCAGGAGCGCACCTCCCCAGTAGTACCTGCCTCCCTTTAGAAGCTAGTGTGGGCGAGAATCTTTTGTTGCTCATCACAGGACTTGGCCCAAGACAGGGGCCAAGTGTTTGCTGAGTGAATGAGTAAATGAATGATCCCGAGAAAGGAGGGCTGGAGAAGGCAAGTCCAGGATTTTCCATATATTTATACTGTGGAGCTCATGAGGTTGTGAGGGTAGCAGGTAAACAGACAGTGCCTGTTTGTCCTTCATAAAAAGGAAGTGGATTTATGTGATACAAGCTAGGGGAATCCCATTTTCTACTTCCCAATTCTTTATTTTATTTATTTATTTTTAGACACTGGGGATGGACTCAGGCCCCCCTGAATGTTAGGCAAGAGTCCTAAGGCCCAGCCACATTTTCTCGACTGTCAGTGGAAGAGTCTCATCAAGTACTGGTGATGCTTAGCCACGCCCTCAGCCCCTCACTGGGGGATTCTAATCTACATTCCCAACCCCTTAGTCCCAACTGTCTACAGGGGCCCTTGAGGCAGGGAATACCACTGAGGCCCAAAGGACACCCCCCCCCAAAAAAAAAAAACAACAACAAAACAAAACAGGAAACATCTGCCCAGGCTGTTTGGTTTCTGGAAAGCGGGAAGTGTAACATCAGCTCACGGGGTTGCTTCCCCGGCTTCTCTGAGACAGCAAGGCTGGTGAGTACAAGGTCACAGATGTCGTGGAGCTTCAGTGGTGGTCCCTGTGACTACACAAGTCCTCTCTCCTCCAGTGAGTCTGCCCTCCAGCATCCTAATTTGCATCGCACCAGCTCAAAGCTGTGAGGTCTCGCCAGGTGGTGACACATGCCTCTAATCCCAACAGAGGCAGGCGGATCTCTGAGTTTGAGAACAGCCTGGTCTACAAAGTGAGTTCCAGGACAGCCAAGGCTACTCAGAGAAACCCTGTCTCAAAAAAAAAAAAAAAAAAAAATTCCAGGCCTCAGACAATCGGGCCCTAAGTGTACTCCAGGAACAGAGCCTCAATGATCACTCAATGATCAGTGCCCTAGCTGTCCTGGAACTAGCTCTTGTAGACCAGGCTGGCCTCGAACTCACAGAGATCCGCCTGCCTCTGCCTCCCGAGTGCTGGGATTAAAGGCATGAGCCACCATTGCCCAGCTAAAAAGATTTTTTTTTTAAGTTGTGTGTGTGCGCACACACGTGTCTGTTTGGGCATGTGCACATGTGAGTACAAGTGCCAAAGGAATTCAGAAGAGGATGCTGGGCCCCTGGAGCTGGAGTTACACACCCCACAAAGGTGCGGGGTACTGAACGTGGGTCCTTTGCAAAAGCAGTAAGTATTCTAAACCAAGGAGCCGTTTCGAGCCTCTGGGCTGTCTTTCTGCTTTTTTTTGAGACTGCTTCTCACTCTGTAACCCAGCCTAAGCTCGGGCTTTTGATCCTCCTGCCTCAGCCTCCGGAGCACTCGGGTAACAGGCATGTGCCACAGGACCCAGCTTCTTTCTGGGCTGTGGCCCAGCAGAGGGTCCCCTCTGCCCTGCTAGCGCTTCCTAGCTCACGGGTTCCTTGGAGCGAGACCCTTCCTTAGCTTGTGCTACAGACCCAGTGCGGCCTTGCAGAATGGATGAGTGAGTCCCGGAATGAATGACGGCGTTTATAGGCGGGACCAATGGCAGGCAAAAGCGCGGAGGCAGGAGCATGACCAGGTGGGAGAATGCACCAGAGGGGTGGGAGGAGGCAGTGTCAAGAGCAGACGGATATCCACGGTAAAGAGCGGTGCCCAACAGCAGTCACCGGAGAGCTCCTGGCACCTGTGCCCTAACAATGCTCCCCACCCTAGCGAGACCTGTGGAAGTGGGCTCTGTCTTCTTCCACACCATTCCTTCCTCAAGCTAGTGGCCACTGGCCCAGTCTGGCGACTTGTGGGCCTCTATATTTAGGGCCTTGGCAGTTTCTAGACTGTGGAAGAGGAAGGAGAGGGCAAACCCCGAAATAGCCGTAGGCTTGTCCCCAGGGCCACAGGGTGTAGGAGCCAGTGGGGCACAGCTTTTTGCCCAGCCTACCCAGGTACCCAGGGATGGAAGATAGTAGGGAGAGGGTGGAGAGGCAGAAGCAGAACACGTCGCACAATGGCAGCTGAAGAAGAAGAAATATAAAGGAATGGCAGGTGTGGGGACACCCTCATATAATGTCATATACCCTGGGAGACAGAGGGAGGATGGTGAGCTTGAGACAGCCGGAGACACAGGGTGAGGAATATATCCCTATGGTACAGGAGCTCAGCCACATGAGTCACGGCCTCTGCCCTCACACTTGTCAGGGACTGGCAACCTCTGGAGGCTTCTACTCGGTGACCAGAATGTCTAAGAGCAACAACTGGATCCAAGAACCCTTCCCAAAGGCTCTAGGGAAAGCCTGGAGAAAGTTTGAGAAAGGTGTTGTAGGATGAATAGGAGTTTTCGGGGGGGGGGTTCTAAAACAGAATGTCAGAGGGTCTCCAATATTTAAAAGCAGAACTGATCAAGAGAAAGGTCCAGATGTGGGGGCTGGCATTTATGAACTGGCTCAAGAGGCAGTTTCCAGGTCAGGGCTGAGCACGCAGCCAGCCACCAGGTGCAAGGAGAGGAACGGTGATCAGGGGTGTCTGGAGAAGCAGTCTGGGAAGCAGGGCCTGGAAAGAGATTCCAGACCAGGACTGGGTGGCCCCTCTCCTGGGGGTGGAGACCTAGTTCCAGAGTCCCAGAGCGGTGGGGCCCAGGTAGGCACAGCCCAAGAGCTTCTGGAGTCAGACAGCAGAGCAAGCAGCTGGCAGAGCCGAGAAGGGGAGGAGGTGACAGACGGAAGGGGCTGCTCCTCCCAGCCACCACCAGCCAGAGGAAGCCAAGATGACCTGGTTTACCAGTGCCCAAGAAAGGGAGGGGGTCAGGGAGTGGGGGGGGGACTGGGAGGGCCTGGGGAGCTGTGGGGGATGGAACCCTTCGTCGAAGCTCATCCAGCCCCACCCTAGAAACCTAATTCCCACTGGCGCCCCTCCTCTCTCCACGCACGGAAACCCACCTTGAGAAGGCCCGCCCTCCTCCCTCCTCATTGCCATGGCAACTGCTGAGCTGGACTCTTCAGGCCCAGGGGGCCTTGAACTGGAAACTGCTCCTGGCGCTGAGAGTGCCGGGAGGGGAGGGCCGCCCGCCGGAGAGAGATGCCCTCCCGCCTCCGCTGCTTCTGGCTTCTCCGTTCTCTGCAGCCAGGAACCCACCGGGGACCCGGAGCAGACTTTGAACCCTAGGTCTCTGCCCCACCTCTTTCTTTAGTTTTACGATTTCCACTTCTCCCCGACACTAGGATTTCAGACACTCGGCTAACAGAAAAGGAAACCGAGGCTTTGCAAAAAAGGAACGGTCTAAGGCAGCACATAAAAAAGCTACGAAGCACATTCGAGGAGTCCCGCGGTTGATCTCGGGAGCCTACGGGAAACAGTGTGATAAAGGGGTGCCTGCAAGCTTCCCAAATCTGGCCAGGGATTAGAAGAAGCTTTATTAAATATAGCAATGCAGGTTAGGAGCCTTAGATTCAAGACTTTGTTTTGACACCTTCAGCTAGCATTGCATGTCTGTGGGCCTCGCTTTTCTATTCTGTAAAATGGACCGAAGAGAAATGCCTTGCAGGGAGCGATTAAAGGGAGGGCTCTCGCAAAGTTCAGGGAGACTAAATCCTCCCTCTTTGCATCACTCCTGGCCCCCTGACTGACTCCCCACTTTCCCCCTGCCCAAATGAACAGCAAGCAAGTCTGGCGGACAACTCGGGGTTATTATGGGCTCAGGAAGTACCGGGAAAGAACACTGATTGTTAAGGGGCATTCCGCTCCTTCCAGCCACACCCTGGGCAGTTCTCACTGCGAGGCCACCCCAGCGCCAGCCTCAGTCCTTTAAAACCCCTGCCCCTTTGAACCCCAATTTACTGCCTCTCCCAGATCGAGAAACTCCCTCCCCTACCTCCTGCCTTCCAGCTATTGCCTCCCCCTCCATCCCAGTCAAGGTACCCACAGTTAATCTCACTGTCCCCATTTTCCTAGCCAATCCCCCTTCGTGACTGCACACGCCACACCTTCTCCGCTGCTCTCTTTGTGGGGAGGCCCTAAGGACCCCCGCAAAGGTCAAGTGTATAAAAGGGGATTTCAGCAAAGTTGGGGTAGCCACCCCTATCCGCTACTCACATGTCCTTAGCAGGCAGATTTTTCCCTTCAACGATTCGGATGGACAACGAGCTGCGCCTGGCCATCGCGGGTCGGCGACGTGGAGGCCTGGCGGGGAGGGATCCGGACGCCTGGGTCCCCTCCCGGGGGCAGCGCGAGTGGCGCGGCTGGTGCCAGGACAGGGAGGGGAGCCCTGGGGCGGAGGGATCGCCTGCACTCCATTCACCCCTCCCCGTCCCTCGTGCGAGGGCGGGAAGATACTGCATGGAAGGACCAATCAGCGGGCTGTCTGCACACAATGGGCGTGGCCTCTGAGGCCCGCGTCCCTCGTTGGTCGCCTGGAGCGAGGAGGGGCGGGGTCTGAGAGGAGCACCTCCTCCTCCACCACCTGAATCTCTGGTGGGGCGCGATCCCCAAGCAAGGGCTGACTCTAGCCGAGAGACCTGAGTGTGTGTTCCGGAAAATGCTATTTGTGGGAACGTGCCAAAGGGAGGCAGGCGTATGCCCACCAGATCGGGATCGCCCCGGCCACCCGAGTCTGCACGGGATGCACAGTGCAGTTGCAAATCCATGAATGAATGCGCGCTGGGAGGAACTTAGTTGGCAAGGCAGAGTTTTTAACAGGCCAGGAAAAATGTGGCGAAGACCCGGGCAGCCAGAAGCTTGGGAACATCAAGTCTGGAAAATAGGGTTGTTCTGGGGGGGCGTTTTTGTGTTGTGTTTTCGTGTATGTGTAGGTGTGCAGCTGCACATACATGTGTGCGTGTAGAGGCCAGAGGTCAACCTCCGAGATCATTCCTCAAGATCCGTCCACCGTTAAAATAATTTGTTTCACATTGGTTGATTAATTGTGGGGTTGTGACTTGCGTGCCGTGACCCCAAGTGGAGATCAGAGGACAATCCACGGGAATCTGTTCTACCCTTCCACCTTACGGGTCTCAGGGATCAAACTCGGGTCCTCAGGTTTGGCGCAGGAACCTTTATCCACTGAGCCATCGCCCTGCCCCACCTTGGTCTCTCACTGGCTTGAAACTTACACAGTAGTTTAGACTGGCTGGCTATTGATATCCAAGGAGCCACCTGTATGGATACAAGATACAGAGGTGACGCCATTAGTTCTGGGAACTGAACTTATGTTCTTTCTTCTTCACCCCTCCCATTTATTTATTTATTTGGCTTTTTGCGACAGGGTTTTTCTGTGTAATAGTCCTGCCTATCCTGGAACTGCTTGGCAAACCAGGCTGGCCTCGAACTCACTGAGATCTAGCAATTGAACCATCCATCTTCCTAGCCCAAGATCTGTATTCCAGCCCTCCGCCCCACCCATACTGGTGACTGAACCTAGGTCCTTGAGTATACTAGGCAAGAACTCTGCTACTGAAACAGTGAACTCAGGAGTTCACAAGGCTGTCCCAGGCAGGGGCACTCTTGGCCTCCCTGGGTAGCAGGTGACTGCGGGTGTTTTCACCTACCATGGTCCTTCACCAACAGGCAGAGCCACCTTCCTAGAATGATCCACTTCTGTGATTCCTTCCCTTGTCCAATAGCCAGAGTTCTGGGTTTGTAAGATCTGTCTCCTCCTCCACCTCAAGCAACAGCCCTCCAAGTCTAGCTGCAGGCTTGAGTCGCAGCCCCCGCTCTGCTGCTTCCTAGCTGTCCCATCCCTTGCAAAGAGCTGGGAATAAGATTGCAGCAAGGGGCATGAAGCACAGATTCTCATTCTTGTATATTCTAATTTTCTTTTTTTGGGGGGGCGGGGGGGTCTCTGTAGCTTTGGAATCTGTCTGTCCTGGAACTCATTCTGTAGACCAGGCTGGCCTCGAACTCACAGAGATCCACCTATCTCTGCCTCCCGAGTGCTGGGATTAAAGGCGTGTGCCACCGCCATCCAGCTACTTTTTTAATTTAAATTAAAAATTTATTATTTGTCTGTGTGTGCACACATGTATGTGTGACTTGTGGCAGTCACTTCTCTCCTTCCATTGTGGGCTTCAAGGGTGAAGCCCAGATGACCAGGCGTGAGTGACAAGCTGGTTCACATGTTGAGCTATCTTGCTGGCTCCAATGCCCTAGTTTTTAAAACTGTTCGTGATCACCAATTTTTTCCACGTATTATTTATTTGTGTGGGGTGCCTTTGTGTCATGGCATGGGCTGGGACATCAGAGGACCACTCTCAGGGATCCATTGCTCCTTCCCCCGGGTTCTGGGGACTGAACTCTGTAATGAGGCGCTGAAGCAGGAGATTTTCCGTGATGAGCTACTTCATGGCCCCACCCCACCCCCTTTTTGAAAATTGCTCTGCAAAATTGGAGCATGGTGGACTGGAGAGATGGCTCAGCGGTTAAGAGCATTGCCTGCTCTTCTAATTCCCAGCAACAACATGGTGGCTCACAACCATCTGTAATGAGGTCTGGTGCCCTCTTCTGGCCTGCAGGCATATACACAGACAGAATATTGTATACATAATAAATAAGTAAATATTTAAAAAAAA